GTACGCGCGTTAGCAAACCCCATATATATTATATATATATTATATATTATTATNGTTAGCAAACCCCATATATATATATATATATATATATATATATGTTGTAAACTCAGATTTCAACTACAAACTCATAAATATAACTCGAATTCTTCTAATTTATTCTTCTATCTCTTTCTTCATTGACACTGAATCAGACGACATTCTTTCATCTGCTCCCGTATAACGAATTATACGATCATCGCATATACACAAACAAGTAGGGTGAGCTAACATGCAACCCATCATTTATAAAACATGCATAATTACTTTGCACACTCAACAAACCTCATATAATAATTATGTCAGACACCCTCATACCATCATACAACAATCTCATCATAGATACTCATCCCACAATACCCAATAGACATTCATCCCATAATACTCAATAGACACTCATCCCACAATACCCAATAGACACTCATTCAACAATACCCAATAGACACTCATTCCACAATACCCAATAGACACTCATTCAAGAATACCCAATACACACTCATTCCAGAATACCATTTAGACACTCATCCCACAATACTCAATAGACACTCATCTAGATGATACGTTGATGAGCGGTCACGGGAGGTTATGCACTTGTGATGACTTCTACTTATCCTTACAAATACACTTCCAAAATACTCCATACCATCCACAAGGTTAGTCCTCAATACATTTAAAACCAGCACATAGACCAGGACCTCCTGCCCCTCTCACCACATAATTCATCATTCTCTACTTGAGACTGGATGATTATTAGAGTATCAGAATAACCTCCAACGATAGGACCCTCAACATCAACATATACACAAATACCAAATCATTACTGAATAACTCCACGAGACTCATAACATTCTCATATTCCTCAACTCACATTATACCATTACAAAATCTCCCCATAATACTCATATCATGTTCAGATGCATAAATTCAAATCCAATATAATAAAACCAATCATCACATAAATCATACAAAATGAATATATCACAAAATAAATTAACAATACTAAAATATCACCATAAATGGTCACCGGAGAAGAATCAAATGTTTGACGAATCAAACTCACCATAAACGCCAGTACATATGATTAGTCACAACTTACTAGATTTGACCAGGACTGCTCTATGATCAGGGATGTACCAACCCCGATTTTTAAGATTCCTCTATCCTACCATCACAATTATAACCTTATATAAACGTTCTGGGGAACTAAGGAGTTGAATCTAGCATAACCGGTTAAACATCTTCTTATCCTTCCAGAAAGATGAATCCATCACATATTTTATATCAATTGAGTATATTGCATAATAATTTAACAGTACTTAATATGTTCAATAGGATTTAAGTTAAAAACCTATCGAGTAGACTTCCAGAAAAGAGAGGTGTGTCACAATGGACAACTTAAGTACCAAGTCTTTCCTTAGCCAAAGTGTTCCTCAACTAGTTTTTAACAAATTTCTTATTTACAGATTCAAAACAACAACATATAATATTAACACAGAAATTCAATATAGATAGATATACAGTAAACACATATGTTTTTCATTAACAATATTCACACATAATTTCAAGACATGAATAGTAATAAAACAATACTAAATCATAATATAAAAGCTTAGAAAGGTTAGCTCCCCTACCTCTATTCCAGAATTAATCTCTTGCTCAAAATTTGTTTCCCCAAAAACCCTCCAGAACCTCTACTCTTCTTGCAACTAAAAATTTCTTCCTAACTCTTATCTATTTCTCAAGATTTCTCACTTGATTCTTCCTCTCTTTGTGCATAATAGCCTCCCCTCTCATGGCCATTTATAGCCCAAAAATTTTACTATTCAACAATTTTTTAATATTATTTATTATTTTAATATTATTTTATTATATTAATATTTTAATCACTACTTGACATATTGGATCCCTCAATAATTAATGGGATCCCAACTTTGGGTAAGTGGACAAAATTTTCATTTTAACCAAAATAAAAACACAATCAATTATTGGATACCAATGAAATTTAAATAAATTTATATAAAAAGTTATCACATTTGATTTAAAATCTAAAAGTAATAAATTTATAAGTATTTTTATTTTACATATTATTCATTTCTTCCTCTTTCCTTAAATTGATTTTAAAATTTTAAGATTACTTTTTGTAACATCCTAATTTAACAACTTATCACTAATAAAATGAGTTATAAAATTGATAAAACAAAAGACAAATTTATTACAACGTATAGATATAGTATTAATATAATTATTTAAAAAATAATAACTATAATAATAAATACATATAAAAGAACTAATTAACTATTAGATAACTAAGAAGATTATATGTAATATCACCGTCTCCACGAAAGATGTTTCAACACCTAAACCTCATATACTCACACAATAAGGTGATCATCATAAAAGAAACAAACAACACACCAAAGATAACAAAAGAATCAATAGGGCAAGCTAGTGTTCAAAGGAAAACTTCATACAATTTAACACATCACATATTAGTTCAACACTTAAAATATTCCATAGCTCATATAAACATATAATCATTTGACTCTGGAATCAATTATCCGGATACATGCTTTGACATAGACCTCACTAAAAGTGTACACTCGTAGTAGCATTTATACTCTGCAAAGACATAAATATGGGTTTATTAACCTATAACTCACAAGGTTAATCTTTCTCTCATTAGACTCAAAAGTATAGGATAAAGACATTCTGCCTAATTATACTCTGCAAAGACCCAATTCATTTCTACATAAGTTGAATGGTTGATATAATATTAGGATACATTCTTTCTCAAATCAAATTCAACTTGAGATTCTTCTCACATCTCATATCATTCACACATCCATATTCACACCATCCATAAAACATCAATAATTATCAATGTAAATATACTTTAAATCGGTTCAAAGAAAACATGAATTAGAAAAACATAAAAAGTACAAAAAAACTTGAAACAAAAGGCGTCCAATGCCATGTCCAGCGCCAGCGAGCCATGACCTTCGCCTAGCAAGACAATCTCTCGCTCAACGAATTAAGGAAAAAAGAAGCCAAACTTGCAATGGGAAAGTGGTGCACAACACCTAAAATGAGTGCTCAGCATCCTAGAGCCTAGTGGCTCTCGGGTTTGGCAGCGTTCAACGCCACACAGGACCACTCAGCGCTATATCAGAAGATAACAACTTTGAAACTTGATCTGGATGCACTCACGACCTATCCCAATGAACAAATTGATATTCTTGGCACTATAATTAATTTGAGAACATATTTATACCTTAGATTGAATACCAATTTGCTTAATTGGCTAGGAACTCAGTGAATCTATTAGATCAAACCAACTATCCAAAAGCATAACAACATATTTCACAATATACAAACTCCAAATATCAAACTTAGTCAAAGAACAATCTTTCTAGAATTTCACTTGTCGAAACCCAACTTTCAGACCTAAAACCAACCATTACTCTAACCTATTATCAAACCAAAGTTCAACAACAACTTGCACCAACCAAACTATCAATTCTCAACTCATATACAATTCAACGATACAATTCAATGCATACATAAGCTAAATCATTCAATCATTGCAAATATTCAAACACATGTAATTCAAAGACCAGCTCCAACACTTACAATTTAACAACAAGCCAAAACTAATCAACAGCCTAATTACTCAAATTAACTATCACAATCATACAAACATCAATTAAAACTTACCTATTTGTTAAAATCAAAGTAACTAGCTTCCCTTACCTGACAGATAACCTATAGGGGTCCTAAAATAGCTCCAAAAGCTTAAGAGGCTCTATCTACTCTTACGAATAATAAAAACACGATCAAGGTACACCGTTAAAACTACTGATCACTAGAGATTCAAATTGAAGATTCAAAAGACTCATGCAAGTTGATCGGAGCCCACATGTAATAGGTACAAGAAAAGATCAAGGAAAAAGGTTGAAACCTCAACTTACTCAAATGGAGAAATGGATCGATCTAGGTTGAAGATTTCGTCGCAATGATCAATCCTACGACTCAATTCTTCAATCATACGAGTAGGAAGGAAAAACCCTTACAAAAGTGAGAAAACTCTAGAAAATTTTTTGTAGAAAGATGATATATTTTAAAATAATGAAACTCGTTTATCACGAAACTATTTATATTAAAACTATTTGATATTAAAATAATTGAGTCTCACTATTTTTAAACCGTTATCACTTTTAAAATGTCATTTTCTAGTTTTTACACTTTTCATTCATTTTTATTTTCTTTCATCTAATTAAATAAATTTTACTTCTCACTTGTTGATATTTCTTCTCTTATATCTACTATTCAACTCTCTCAATATCAATCAATTCAAATAAACAATTCAAATAAAGTGTCAATGGTGGTCAATTATTCTCCAAACAAATTAACATGATGATTAAGGCCATACATTTAGGACAAAATCATCACCTAACCTTATTAAACGAAATCTGAATTAGGTTGGATGTTTGCATTCAAAACTTGCGCAACACTCATCACGTAAGTAGGAAATTAGTTTAAATTGATTTTAATGAAATCATTAAAAAAATCATCCTAATATGAATGTGTTGGGTTGAGAGGATTCAATCGTCACATCCAACAGATACTCAACTCACAATTGAGACAATGATAAACAACCAGTCTAATACCCTTCAACAGATTATTTTTTATTGAAATGCATACAACTACATGTATGTTTTGCAGTAATTATAGTTTAATTATAAGACATTTTGCCCAGAGTCGGTAGATTTTGGACCAAGCTTTTGTTTTTTATATTCCCAAACGGCCATTCCAAATCTTTCTCTGCGCAAGTCAAGGCACCGTATTCTTCTCTTGGGCATCACATGTTTTGTTCTTGATTTTTCTATATTAACATTTGGAATTTATCAAGAAAATAATAACATTTTAAGTAATGTGGAAAGAATTTTGTAGCATTCTTTATTTTTATTTAATCAAAACTTCTATGTCAAAGAGAGATCCATATGTACGCAGGACTTTTGCTTTTATTTGATGATTTTTTTAGGGGTGCAAGTAGAGGTTATTCTGTAGTAGGTATAAAATCTGGCGAGTAGAATATTACATTCAACTTGTGATTCGAATGAACGAGGAGCTATTCTCTACTATTACATGTTGCTGTTTAGTCTTGCTCTGATTATTCCATTGCTCATTCGTCAAAGGCCAATTCTCTTTGTTTGCTTGTTGACTTTTCAAACCATCTTCTTGGACTTGACTTGTAAACATCTGGGAAGCTTGCACGCTGTTTCCTCAAAACGAATCGTCATTCTTTTCTTGTTGACCAAGCTGTAATTTTTTTTTTATGAAAGTTGGTGATGAAAGCCGCATTGAAGAAATTCAATATCCACAACCACGTGGGATACATGGTAGGGAGGGTTCTATAGTTCATAATTTAAACTCTACCATCTGTTTGATTTTATGAAAAAGTAAAAATCTTTCCATAAAAAGTTTATTTTTATTGCGGAGAACACACAGTTGAGAAGATTACAAGAAATTGAAATTTGTTTACTGTAGCGAAAACCGAGAAAGGAGGTTGCGAAACTCGTTTTGTTTTCAGTCTTGCACACGTATCCGTAGTATAAACGTAGGCGTATCTATTTCATCGAACAGCTCAATAGTCCCAAGTCCAGAGCAACGTACTGTTGCTCAGGACTACCTTGGCTTTTTCTATCTGTTTTCTGGATTGAGAGGTGGTTAAAACTCGTAAAGGTAAGCGTTGTTTACTTGTATTTTGGAGTTTTTGTTTTACTTCCAAAGCCTTTTTACCTTACTTTCTGTTGTGTACTATTAGTTTCCACCCTGTCAAATACAGACTCGTAAGGGCAGCACAGTTTTTCAGCTCCTTTAAATTTTGTCGAACCGTGTTTTCTTGTTTCAGGGAGTGGAGGGAAAGAAGTGGATGGAAATTGAGTTATAAAGTTGTAAGGTTGTAATACGACTGAAGAAGTTTCTTGTTGGGGGTGTCTGCAAACAAGCATGTCGTTTGCAGCTTCAACGTGGCTCACGTCCCTCTCGTGTTCATTGGATGCAACTCCAAATCTTCCTCACTGGCTGAGATTCATTTTCCTCTCTCCATGCCCTCAGAGAGCTCTTTTGTCTGGTGTTGACGTTCTGCTTCTGTTGACACTCTTTGTGTTTGCGCTTGTAAAGCTCTATTCTAGGCTCACTTCCAATGCCAACGCTAACTCACACCTTGATAAACCACTTATCAGAAACAACAGAGTTTCTGTCAGGACAACAGCATGGTTTAAGCTAACTCTAACTGCAACCACTCTTTTGACATTATTGTACGCGGTGGCTTGCATTCTAGTGTTTGTCAGTTCCACCAACGAGCCCTGGAAGCAAACTGATGGCTTGTTTTGGTTACTTCAGGCCATAACACAACTAATCCTTATAGTCTTGATCGTCCATGAGAAAAGATTTGAAGCTGTTACTCACCCTTTGTCTCTCAGAATATACTGGATTGCAAATTTCATTGTGGTTTCTCTGTTCACTGCTTCTGGGATCATACGTTTGGTCTCTGTAGGAGTGGAAGATGGGAAACACTTCAGCTTCATGGTTGATGATACGGTTTCTTTCATTTCTTTACCCTTGTCACTTTTTCTGCTCTTTGTTGCAGTTAAAGGGTTCACCGGGATTGTGTCTGGCGAAGAAACAGAACCCCTTATTGACGAGGAAACAAAACTACATGAGAAATCCAACGTTACTGGCTTTGCTTCAGCTTCTGCAATATCCAAGGCCTTTTGGATTTGGATAAACCCGTTGTTGAGCAAAGGGTACAAGTCACCTTTGAAGATTGATGAAATTCCATACCTTTCATCCCAGCATAGAGCTGAGAGGATGTCCGTTATCTTTGAATCAAAGTGGCCAAAATCAGATGAGAGGTCGAAGCACCCGGTTCGAACAACGTTGCTTCGCTGTTTCTGGAGGGAGATAGCCTTCACAGCATTTCTTGCTGTTATTAGGCTGTCTGTGATGTTCGTAGGGCCAGTTCTCATTCAAAGTTTTGTTGATTTTACATCAGGAAAAGGTAGCTCTGTGTATGAAGGATACTACCTCGTGTTGGTTCTCCTGTGTGCCAAATTTGTAGAAGTTTTGACAACTCACCATTTCAACTTCAACTCTCAGAAGCTTGGGATGCTTATCAGATGCACTCTCATCACTTCTTTGTACAAGAAGGGGCTGAGGCTAACGGGTTCCGCGAGGCAAGATCATGGTGTTGGGCCTATTGTCAATTACATGGCTGTTGATACCCAACAACTCTCTGATATGATGCTCCAGTTACACGCTGTGTGGATGATGCCATTTCAAGTTGGCATTGGTTTGTTTTTGCTCTACAATTGTCTGGGAGCCTCGGTGATTACGGCTACAATTGGACTTCTTGGTGTCATTGCATTTGCTGTGGTGGCTAATAGAAGAAACAAGCGTTTCCAGTTTAATGCCATGATGTGCCGTGACTCAAGGATGAAGGCAGTGAATGAGTTGCTTAATTACATGCGTGTCATCAAGTTCCAAGCATGGGAAGAACATTTCAATGGGAGAATTTTGGGTTTCCGCAAGTCTGAGTTTGAGTGGCTCTCCAAGTTTATGCAATCAATCTGTGGCGTTATTATTGTGTTGTGGAGCACCCCATTGTTGATATCAACTCTGACGTTTGGTACCGCGCTTTTGCTTGGAGTTCGACTTGATGCAGGCACGGTTTTCACCACCACAACTGTGTTTAAGATCCTGCAGGAACCTATTAGGACCTTTCCTCAGAGTATGATATCTCTTTCACAAGCGCTGGTATCACTTGGGAGGTTAGATAGGTACATGTCTAGCAGGGAATTGTCGGATGATTCGGTTGAGAGAGAGGAAGGGTGTAGTGGACGCATTGCTGTGCAGGTCAGAGATGGAACTTTTAGCTGGGATGATGATGGTCAGCTGCAAGACTTGAAAAACATTAATTTGGAGATTAATAAGGGGGAGCTTACAGCAATTGTTGGGACTGTAGGGTCCGGGAAATCTTCACTCCTTGCTTCAATTCTTGGTGAGATGCACAAAAATTCTGGGAAGGTATGTAATTATTTTTTGTTTAGAAAAGAGGACTTTGTTTTCTATACCATGCAGTCACTAATTTGTGCCGTAATGTTGGTTTCTGACTGTATGTTTTGGTGGCAGATTCAAGTTTGTGGGAGTACTGCTTATGTTGCACAAACATCTTGGATTCAAAATGGGACAATTGAGGAAAACATTCTCTTTGGCTTACCAATGAACAGGCAGAAGTACAATGAAGTGGTCAGAGTTTGTAGCTTGGAGAAAGACTTGGAAATGATGGAGCATGGTGATCAGACAGAGATTGGAGAGCGTGGCATCAACCTAAGTGGGGGTCAGAAGCAGCGCATACAGCTTGCCAGGGCTGTATATCAAGATTCTGATATATATCTTCTTGATGATGTTTTCAGTGCTGTAGATGCACATACTGGCACTGATATATTCAAGGTGATTAATCTAATATCTTTCCCTGTTTCCTACTCTCCGCATTCTATAAGTTAGACTAATTCATTTTTTTAATTACAAGTCAATTTTGTGAATCCTTTTAATAAAAAAAATGATGTACAATTCAGTTTAGTTATTGACTTCTGGTGGGTTGAAATTAGCACCTATCCAAATGTTTTTGAGACAGTATGCTAAAAATGACGCCATATTTACAGTATTATATATGTTTTTATAGTATAGCCATGTTTTAAATTAGAGTAATTTTATGCAGGAATGTGTGAGGGGTTCTCTTAAAGGAAAGACCATTATTCTTGTAACACACCAAGTAGACTTCCTACATAATGTGGATCTTATAGTGGTAAGGCTTTATCATAATCCTTTAATGTCTTGTCCCATTCAATCTCTAACTTAACTTGGCAAAAGATTTTAAATTTCTAATACACATGTTTGCTTGGTCAAAAGGTGATGAGGGATGGAGCGATAGTACAATCAGGGAAGTATGATGATCTACTTGCTTCTGGAATGGATTTTAGTGCTCTTGTTGCAGCACATGAGACATCTATGGAACTAGTGGAGCAAGGTGCGGTCGTGCCTGGGGAAAATCTGAATCAGCAAATAAAATCACCAAAGGCAGGTTCTAATAACAGACCAGCCAACGGTGAAAGCAATTCTCTTGACCAGCCCAAGTCTGACAATGAAGGTTCTAAACTCATCAAAGAAGAGGAAAGAGAAACTGGGAAAGTTAGCTTTCGTATCTATAAACTCTACTGCACAGAGGCTTTCGGGTGGTGGGGCATTGGAGGAGTAATCCTTCTTTCTGTGTTGTGGCAAGCATCAATGATGGCTAGTGATTATTGGCTGGCTTATGAAACATCCGAAGAGCGTGCACAGTTCTTCAATCCTTCTACGTTTATTTCTATCTACGGAATTATTGCTGTAGTTTCAATTATTTTGATTGTGCTAAGATCCTACGCTGTTATGGTCCTCGGGTTAAAGACAGCACAGATTTTCTTCAATCAAATTCTCCACAGCATCTTGCATGCCCCCATGTCTTTCTTTGACACCACTCCATCCGGGAGAATTCTTAGCAGGGTAAGAATTCCAAGGCTCAAGTATACAACTTTAAATGTAACATGGACAAACTTAAGAAAAAAGAAGTAAAAATTAACGTTTATGCATAAAATAATTTTCAGAAGCTTTATCATATAACTTTTCCAAACAATGTTAATAAACTAATTTTAATTTAAAGAAGTTAATGTTATTTTTTTCTCTCTTAAAATGTCTTTTTGCAGAAACTTGTCCAAACAGATGTATTCTTCTACATTACTGTCACCTTCATATATAATGAATTCTATTTTCTTAAACTTTGACAGGCATCCACTGATCAGACCAATGTTGATGTTTTTATCCCCTTGTTCCTCAATTTTGTGGTAGCCATGTACATTACAGTGATCAGCATCTTCATAATCACATGTCAAAATTCTTGGCCGACAGCTTTCTTGTTAGTTCCTCTTGCTTGGTTAAACATTTGGTACCGGGTATGTGTACGGTGTTTCTGTTAGTACAATGCATTGCTGTCATTTTACTATTTCAAGAATGATGTATCACATGGATTTAATTGATTTGTCCGTGTTAGATTATCAATCAATGTCTATATTCTAAACTTTTTGGCTGGAAACAAAAGTAAACGTGCTTACTATTAATGATTTCTCAATTCAAGTATTGTAGTAATTGAATAGCCGTGGTAAAAGCACAGGAATTGCTCACAACTAAACATATCTGATGCAATATAGGTTAACAACTCATGTGTTTGATTTTTCGATTTTGGATTTTGCAGGGTTATTTTCTTGCTTCCTCTCGTGAGTTAACTCGTCTGGATTCAATTACTAAAGCACCTGTCATTCACCATTTCTCTGAAAGCATTTCGGGGGTCATGACAATCCGGGCATTCAGAAAGCAGAAGCAGTTTTGCGGAGAAAACATTAAACGGGTGAATTCTAATTTGCGAATGGATTTCCACAACTTCAGTTCCAATGCGTGGTTGGGTTTCCGCTTAGAATTGCTTGGAAGCATAGTTTTTTGCTTCTCCGCCATGTTCATGATCATGTTACCCAGCAATATCATAAAGCCAGGTAAACAAACTCACTATAAAATGATTTGTAAAATGTTTCTCTTTATTTGTCAATGATCCTTGAGAGTCCTTTGAACAACTATTTGTTCCATACAAAATTCTGATACAAAGCTTTATGCAAAAACTCATAGTGGACCAGGTTCATACTGTAATTCTAACAGAAGGCTAGACACTCATAGTTGTAGTAGATGAAAGTGTTACTGTTTTTCTTTTACTTGGAAGTGGTGTAGTGGATTGGTTATAAGTAAAATAAGGAAAATAACAACATCACTGTCCACATAGGACAAACACATCAAACAAAATTATATGATGAAAACCCCTAAAGTTCCAACTTTTTATAAAGAAAAAAGAATTCCACCTGTTACCCAACAAAGGCTAGAATCTGGCCGTCACCCTATCCTAGTTCCATTCCTTGATAAACTTGTCTTCTATGTTCAAATTATTCAGTCACATCACTAACCAATCACAACATACCCTTCTAGCACGTCTCTAGCAGGATACTCTATTTGTGCAAAATGTCCAATAGATAAGACAAAATAGAGACAAGAAGATGATTTCAAGATGGTGCTTCTTTGAATTATTATTCAACTATAATACATGTGGAAAATATTCAAGTGTGCGACGTGTACACTACATGTTGGATTAGAATGTTAAGAATTCAAGATCCGTTGGACGTCTTACGAAATGAGTAGGCCAAAACTTATTTTCTTAAGATTTTGCATGTCCTGATCTTTTATGAGTTTGTTGATGACTAATTGGTGTCAAGTCAGTGGTCTGCACTCCCCTTTGAAAAACCTAACATAGAATGTGTTGAAAAGCAATGAAATGGTTTTTATCCTGCAGTCAAAATTTTATTATGATAAACAAGTGATTGGTTTGTTGTGATTGTTGATGCAGAGAATGTTGGCTTGTCGCTCTCATACGGGTTATCATTAAACGCCGTGATGTTTTGGGCCATATACATGAGCTGTTTCATTGAAAACAAATTGGTATCTGTTGAGAGGATCAAACAGTTCACAAATATTCCATCCGAAGCAACATGGAGAAACAAGGATCGTGTGCCTCCTGCAAATTGGCCCGGTCAAGGCAATGTTGATATCAAAGATTTGCAGGTATCCAGAAAAAACCAAATTGATTATGATTATTTCTTGTGGTAAAATTAATTATGCAGTAAAATTTCACTATATCCTACTTTACAAGAGTTTTCAATTTAAAATCTTATGATTGATTGCGACTGTTGTAAAGCACGAAGGCATACTTTCATTAAGTTAGCAGGTGCTGATGTTAAATGACTGGTTAACGAATGAGATAACTATTTTATGTTGTAGTAATAAATGGTATGTGGTGTCAAGGCATATAATATTTTTATTTAGTACATTACTTTATTAAATGATTATTATTAAAAAAATTTAAAGAGAAATATTTGGTAAGAAAAGACTTGTGTTATTGTTATTGTAATACGCTCTGAGCAACAAACTATTTACTTAAGGTCATTACTTAAACTTGTGGCAAACAGGTTAGATATCGTCCAAACACCCCTTTGGTTCTTAAAGGCATCACCTTAAGCATCAATGGAGGAGAAAAAGTTGGTGNTGGACGCATTGCTGTGCAGGTCAGAGATGGAACTTTTAGCTGGGATGATGATGGTCAGCTGCAAGACTTGAAAAACATTAATTTGGAGATTAATAAGGGGGAGCTTACAGCAATTGTTGGGACTGTAGGGTCCGGGAAATCTTCACTCCTTGCTTCAATTCTTGGTGAGATGCACAAAAATTCTGGGAAGGTATGTAATTATTTTTTGTTTAGAAAAGAGGACTTTGTTTTCTATACCATGCAGTCACTAATTTGTGCCGTAATGTTGGTTTCTGACTGTATGTTTTGGTGGCAGATTCAAGTTTGTGGGAGTACTGCTTATGTTGCACAAACATCTTGGATTCAAAATGGGACAATTGAGGAAAACATTCTCTTTGGCTTACCAATGAACAGGCAGAAGTACAATGAAGTGGTCAGAGTTTGTAGCTTGGAGAAAGACTTGGAAATGATGGAGCATGGTGATCAGACAGAGATTGGAGAGCGTGGCATCAACCTAAGTGGGGGTCAGAAGCAGCGCATACAGCTTGCCAGGGCTGTATATCAAGATTCTGATATATATCTTCTTGATGATGTTTTCAGTGCTGTAGATGCACATACTGGCACTGATATATTCAAGGTGATTAATCTAATATCTTTCCCTGTTTCCTACTCTCCGCATTCTATAAGTTAGACTAATTCATTTTTTTAATTACAAGTCAATTTTGTGAATCCTTTTAATAAAAAAAATGATGTACAATTCAGTTTAGTTATTGACTTCTGGTGGGTTGAAATTAGCACCTATCCAAATGTTTTTGAGACAGTATGCTAAAAATGACGCCATATTTACAGTATTATATATGTTTTTATAGTATAGCCATGTTTTAAATTAGAGTAATTTTATGCAGGAATGTGTGAGGGGTTCTCTTAAAGGAAAGACCATTATTCTTGTAACACACCAAGTAGACTTCCTACATAATGTGGATCTTATAGTGGTAAGGCTTTATCATAATCCTTTAATGTCTTGTCCCATTCAATCTCTAACTTAACTTGGCAAAAGATTTTAAATTTCTAATACACATGTTTGCTTGGTCAAAAGGTGATGAGGGATGGAGCGATAGTACAATCAGGGAAGTATGATGATCTACTTGCTTCTGGAATGGATTTTAGTGCTCTTGTTGCAGCACATGAGACATCTATGGAACTAGTGGAGCAAGGTGCGGTCGTGCCTGGGGAAAATCTGAATCAGCAAATAAAATCACCAAAGGCAGGTTCTAATAACAGACCAGCCAACGGTGAAAGCAATTCTCTTGACCAGCCCAAGTCTGACAATGAAGGTTCTAAACTCATCAAAGAAGAGGAAAGAGAAACTGGGAAAGTTAGCTTTCGTATCTATAAACTCTACTGCACAGAGGCTTTCGGGTGGTGGGGCATTGGAGGAGTAATCCTTCTTTCTGTGTTGTGGCAAGCATCAATGATGGCTAGTGATTATTGGCTGGCTTATGAAACATCCGAAGAGCGTGCACAGTTCTTCAATCCTTCTACGTTTATTTCTATCTACGGAATTATTGCTGTAGTTTCAATTATTTTGATTGTGCTAAGATCCTACGCTGTTATGGTCCTCGGGTTAAAGACAGCACAGATTTTCTTCAATCAAATTCTCCACAGCATCTTGCATGCCCCCATGTCTTTCTTTGACACCACTCCATCCGGGAGAATTCTTAGCAGGGTAAGAATTCCAAGGCTCAAGTATACAACTTTAAATGTAACATGGACAAACTTAAGAAAAAAGAAGTAAAAATTAACGTTTATGCATAAAATAATTTTCAGAAGCTTTATCATATAACTTTTCCAAACAATGTTAATAAACTAATTTTAATTTAAAGAAGTTAATGTTATTTTTTTCTCTCTTAAAATGTCTTTTTGCAGAAACTTGTCCAAACAGATGTATTCTTCTACATTACTGTCACCTTCATATATAATGAATTCTATTTTCTTAAACTTTGACAGGCATCCACTGATCAGACCAATGTTGATGTTTTTATCCCCTTGTTCCTCAATTTTGTGGTAGCCATGTACATTACAGTGATCAGCATCTTCATAATCACATGTCAAAATTCTTGGCCGACAGCTTTCTTGTTAGTTCCTCTTGCTTGGTTAAACATTTGGTACCGGGTATGTGTACGGTGTTTCTGTTAGTACAATGCATTGCTGTCATTTTACTATTTCAAGAATGATGTATCACATGGATTTAATTGATTTGTCCGTGTTAGATTATCAATCAATGTCTATATTCTAAACTTTTTGGCTGGAAACAAAAGTAAACGTGCTTACTATTAATGATTTCTCAATTCAAGTATTGTAGTAATTGAATAGCCGTGGTAAAAGCACAGGAATTGCTCACAACTAAACATATCTGATGCAATATAGGTTAACAACTCATGTGTTTGATTTTTCGATTTTGGATTTTGCAGGGTTATTTTCTTGCTTCCTCTCGTGAGTTAACTCGTCTGGATTCAATTACTAAAGCACCTGTCATTCACCATTTCTCTGAAAGCATTTCGGGGGTCATGACAATCCGGGCATTCAGAAAGCAGAAGCAGTTTTGCGGAGAAAACATTAAACGGGTGAATTCTAATTTGCGAATGGATTTCCACAACTTCAGTTCCAATGCGTGGTTGGGTTTCCGCTTAGAATTGCTTGGAAGCATAGTTTTTTGCTTCTCCGCCATGTTCATGATCATGTTACCCAGCAATATCATAAAGCCAGGTAAACAAACTCACTATAAAATGATTTGTAAAATGTTTCTCTTTATTTGTCAATGATCCTTGAGAGTCCTTTGAACAACTATTTGTTCCATACAAAATTCTGATACAAAGCTTTATGCAAAAACTCATAGTGGACCAGGTTCATACTGTAATTCTAACAGAAGGCTAGACACTCATAGTTGTAGTAGATGAAAGTGTTACTGTTTTTCTTTTACTTGGAAGTGGTGTAGTGGATTGGTTATAAGTAAAATAAGGAAAATAACAACATCACTGTCCACATAGGACAAACACATCAAACAAAATTATATGATGAAAACCCCTAAAGTTCCAACTTTTTATAAAGAAAAAAGAATTCCACCTGTTACCCAACAAAGGCTAGAATCTGGCCGTCACCCTATCCTAGTTCCATTCCTTGATAAACTTGTCTTCTATGTTCAAATTATTCAGTCACATCACTAACCAATCACAACATACCCTTCTAGCACGTCTCTAGCAGGATACTCTATTTGTGCAAAATGTCCAATAGATAAGACAAAATAGAGACAAGAAGATGATTTCAAGATGGTGCTTCTTTGAATTATTATTCAACTATAATACATGTGGAAAATATTCAAGTGTGCGACGTGTACACTACATGTTGGATTAGAATGTTAAGAATTCAAGATCCGTTGGACGTCTTACGAAATGAGTAGGCCAAAACTTATTTTCTTAAGATTTTGCATGTCCTGATCTTTTATGAGTTTGTTGATGACTAATTGGTGTCAAGTCAGTGGTCTGCACTCCCCTTTGAAAAACCTAACATAGAATGTGTTGAAAAGCAATGAAATGGTTTTTATCCTGCAGTCAAAATTTTATTATGATAAACAAGTGATTGGTTTGTTGTGATTGTTGATGCAGAGAATGTTGGCTTGTCGCTCTCATACGGGTTATCATTAAACGCCGTGATGTTTTGGGCCATATACATGAGCTGTTTCATTGAAAACAAATTGGTATCTGTTGAGAGGATCAAACAGTTCACAAATATTCCATCCGAAGCAACATGGAGAAACAAGGATCGTGTGCCTCCTGCAAATTGGCCCGGTCAAGGCAATGTTGATATCAAAGATTTGCAGGTATCCAGAAAAAACCAAATTGATTATGATTATTTATTGTGGTAAAATTAATTATGCAGTAAAATTTCACTATATCCTACTTTACAAGAGTTTTCAATTTAAAATCTTATGATTGATTGCGACTGTTGTAAAGCCCGAAGGCATACTTTCATAGGCATACTTTCATTAAGTTAGCAGGTGCTGATGTTAAATGACTGGTTAACGAATGAGATAACTATTTTATGTTGTAGTAATAAATGGTATGTGGTGTCAAGGCATATAATATTTTTATTTAGTACATTACTTTATTAAATGATTATTATTAAAAAAATTTAAAGAGAAATATTTGGTAAGAAAAGACTTGTGTTATTGTTATTGTAATACGCTCTGAGCAACAAACTATTTACTTAAGGTCATTACTTAAACTTGTGGCAAACAGGTTAGATATCGTCCAAACACCCCTTTGGTTCTTAAAGGCATCACCTTAAGCATCAATGGAGGAGAAAAAGTTGGTGTTGTTGGACGAACAGGA